CGCCCTTTCATATTTTATACTCGTATATATTTTAGATAACACACAAAACGTTAAAAAAACGCCCTTTCAGATTTTATATATATATTTTTTAATTTTAATTACATTTGTATTTGAAGTCCATTGAAGTCCAAGTTTATGTTATTTCATTACTATTAAAAAGGAACATTAATGACTCTCGAGAAAATATATAAATTGATCTACATCTAAGTTACACTGTAATATAAATATTATTCAAAGATTTGGAGATACTCATTAGACACCCTTCCTGATTTCAAAAAGGCAGTAAAATTAAGGTTTCTTCTCTTTAGCTTTCAGGCTCACCAGCGGCCGAGCGGTAAAGACGCTGAACACTGGTAGGTCGGTTCGAGGTTCGAATCCAGAGAACGGGCTGGCTGCATGGGCGTTTCCGTGGTTTTCCCCATGTGTAACGTGTATACGAGCCAGTTTTCCTTAAGTCCTCCACGAAAGGCACATTCTCCTAGGCAGATGCCCTAGCGTGCTTTTGCAAATTAATCACCACACCAACTTCGCTTTAAGAACGCCAGTCGAATCAGAGTGATCACGTATATCCCCCAACTACTATTATCTTAAATAATAGCAAAGAAGTTTAAAATGTCAAAAAGAAATTACTGAAATGGCTTCCGTAACAGCAACACAGCATGGAATTTGAAAATAAAAGTCTCTTTTGCCAATCTGAGCAATAATCGATTACTTTACCATTCAGGGTCTGTTTAGTAAGTGAAAATGTTAACCTAATTACGTAGGTTTTTCCGGAAATGCACGGGACTCCAAGAAATGTCCCGTTCGACGTTCAGTCCGCCTAGCCGAAACATAATGTGAAACGGACATTATGCAACACAGCTTTTATTAAAATGCATCTGTAATTCTGTCAAAAAATAAATTAGCTCAGTTATGAGTTTGTGCACTAATAATAATCGCTTTGTTTGGGAATACATTTATATGTGAACAGGAATTAACATTTAAAAGTTCTTTTTTCATAGTTGAAAATTAATAAGAAATAAACTCAGTTAACTTACGAACATCTACAATCATTATGGAAGTACCTTCTACTAATTTATCTCCAATGCTACAAAATTTATCAGTATCGGTGTCATGTTGTAGTAAGAAATAAAGAGGCTTATAATTATTTATATACAAATAAATATATATAACGTTATTTATGCGTCAATGAAAAGTTTAATAAATAAGAGAAAGGTCGTTATTATGTAGTCTCAAGTTATTACTCACATGAACAATCTTTCTGAAAACTTGGAAGGTTTTTATAAATCGTTTATTTTTAATATAAAATAATGTAACTTATCATATTTAATGATTTTAAGCAATTTTAGAACTATTTTACTAATTATTATTTTACTCACTATTATTTTACTATTCCTATTAATTTTTTAGAAATAATTTAGTATTTAGCTACCAAATATTCAATAACGGAGTTGTAACCGACAAAAAATGTCTTGCAGTTTCCAAACTTTAGTTTAGGTAGAAAATAATATTACATTTGATTTTTTTTTTCGTTTGCGATATTATTATTATTTTTATGTATTGTTTTATAAATACTTAGAAAGCGAAATTTTAAATTTATTAAAAATATTTTTTATTTCGGTAATAAAAAATTTTCGTTTCAATAAAATATATTTCTGTTCTGTAATAAAAAATAATTCTAGTTGTTTTCAGATCGTACATTTGGCCCACATGCAATCTGATTTACTAAACAAAAATAAAAACTAATGGCAACGGTAACATTTTAGAAATAGTTGCCATTTCGTTTTAAAATCATGCCATTCTTTTTATAATAGCCTTTACAAATGAAAAATGAATTCTCTAACAAACAGCATTCCTACAAGGGAATAAAACAGAATTTCCGCTCTCCTGGCTTAACTTCCTAGCGCTGTGTGCCTAAATTTAGTATCTCACTCATGACTTAAACTCATTACTTTGCATTTTCTGGCGTAGTAGACGGAACACTAGAAATATACAAAAGAATAATAAAAAATTTTTTTTAGAAAATATAAATCTTACAAGTTTCAATTAATAATAATCAAGCAGTGATATTTAAATATGGTTTTCCTAGTTCTATGCAGAAGATTGTATTTTTTTCATAAATACTTCAAATTTTTGTATTTGGCATATAATTGCATGAAACCTGTTTTGCGTACTTTCTCAATAAAAACTGATAATGACTTTTTTAAATTGATAAGAATTTTTAAAACACTGAATACTTTTAAATATTTCTCCTCGAGACCTTGCAGATTTCTTTGTTTCCTCTGATTAAGAGTGCCCTTGAATTCGGTTGAGTTATTGACTGAATCTATGATGAACACAAGGTTGCTGCTTTGTTGCTTTTATATTTGGACTCTGCTGTAGCGATGGACAAGCTGATAAAATTTCGCGTCAAGGAACATGACGCATATGTTAGAAAAAAGGAAACACAGAAAATCTTTGTTGAACCAACATTGTGGTCCTAACATACGCTTTCAAGTTTCTCCTGCCAAAATTATTCAAAAAAACATCCATTAAAGAACTGGATTTCTAGAGGGCATTTCAAATTCAAAATCATTTATGGTTTTCTAGTTAACGATCCTATTCCAATCCAACTTGGATTCGGCCTTTAAAGAAATTATGTTTTAGTTCTGGTTTCATAACAGAGGGCGCACTAGCTTATTTTCTGTCCAGGCTTTCTTATCTTATCTAATCATTATATCCTATCTCGTTCATTTGCGCTTTTTCAGCTGAGGATGGTGGTTCGGTAAAACTATCGAAACTGTTGTAGTCTGTGAAAATTTGAAAATATAACGTTGATTTTTGTCGTTTGACTTCTGAATTAATATTTGTTCGGCGTGTTATTGTGTCTTAATCTGATATTTATTTATTCTGGAATTTACTTGCTTGAATTAGTCGCTTCAGTATTATAAGATCATGAAACCTGATCCTATTTTTCAATGGGACACAATTTATTATATATTCTTTATTTTTTTATCTCAAAGTGAACGAAAAACAGAAATACATATTTCCCTGGAAAGGAATAAGCAATATGAAGTTTTTAGCAAAAACTCTGATGTTGACATCACATGAATTCCTTGTAAGGCCCTATTAAATTATACAAATTTTTGCTGCAATTCATTTACACTTATTACCGCGATTTACATTAGAGGCATATTTATCACTCATTTATTTCAGTTCTCACTTCGCGGCAAAGCAAAAACACATAAATAATCAAATCATCTTCATTAAAATTGTAAAATATAGAATGAATCTGCCAGGTTTGCAGTGATAAAAATTAATAGTGTACATGGTGAACACGCTATTAGTTTAAGGACTGCCCAGTAATGGTTTAAAAAATGTAAAGTTGGAAAAAGCAGCATTGATGATGACCCGTTCAGGACGTTTTGAAAAAAAAAATGTTTGAACCAAATCCAATGCATTCCTTCAGAGTAGAGTGAAACAACCATTGCCGTCTACACCTCAGAATTTGAACAAAAAAATGCCCAGCTTACTCCCCAGATCTTGCCCCAATGATTTTCACTTATTTCGTTCCTCACAAAAATTTTTAACTGGAAAAAAAAAAATTCTAAACAGGATGTACACAATGAATTTTCAAAGTTTTTTTTTTGCATTCAAACAGGAGTCTTTCTACAGCGATGGTATAAAAAATCTGCCTGTAAGATGGCGAGACATTGTAGATAATGGAGGAAAATATATAACTCATTAAAATGTCAAATCTTTTTTTATATTATTTAAAAATTTACCAAAACTTGCGCACGAATTTATGGACTGACCCATATATGTCATTTTTATTTCCTCCGAACAATGTAAAGTAATGTTTTTGTGTAAAGTAATGAGCTAAAGTAGCCTATTTACTTAGGATTTTCATGCATGTAAGGAATATTTTAAAGGTTTTTCTCCTTTACAGTGAATTTCAAGGTCATATCCACCGTTGAAATAAAAATCCAATGCAAAAATTCTTCTGTTCAGAAAACATGCATGAATACAACCCCCAGCATTCAAATAATAACCAATATTCTGTGCGGTGCCAGTTTTTCACTAAAGATTGGAAAACACCTATATTTGAAAGGCAGATCCAAATAAATATCAGCATTTTGATGCAAAAGATGGAGTCAAGAAGAAACCTGTTCGCAGCTCTAAACAATGAAGGACGTTTCGCTCTTACTATTTTCGTTCCTTCAATAAGAAGCTGCAAGCATTGGAAAAATAAGTAAATTCTTCTGAAAAGCGGAATAATTTTGTGCCCTCGGAAAACTTAGGACAGGTTTTTGCAGACAGAAATATTGCTCTCCAGAAATCTACATAAATACTGTTGCGCTGTCAATATATAGGAAGAAAGCTTGCCAGTCTCTTTTGTTTGGTATCAGGTTATATAGGAATGGATTTGCAAGCCTTTACAATTTGCAATATCTCAAGCTAGCACCTTAAATTCGAAATTTCATTTTGCCTTAAATATTAAATCTTATAATATAATTTATTAGCTCGAAAAAGCCTTTTAGTTTTGAAATGGAATTGTGCGTCGAATCACTATAAAGGTGACGTTTCAATTTCCATTCCAGTCTGTTGCCATTCGGCAAAAAGGAAAATATTTATCTTTCAAATTGAATCTGTCTGTTGGGCATTAACAAATTAAGCTATCTGAAAGCAATAGATGCAGTTTAAATAATATTCGCTTCTTACTTTTGAATCGAAATAATTTAAATAATAAAAATGCATTTAATTCATAATTCATCTGATTGAAAATATTGAGTATTTTCATACAATGACGTTATATATTTTTTATTATTTATTTCACATTTCGTAAACCTTTAATGAATTTTTGATTCACAAACTCGGCGATTTGAAAGCGACACGTGGCAGCAATATACGAAATAAAATGTTTTTATCTCCAGAACGCGAGACTGTCTATCGGGAATTCTAAAGATATGCTGTTTCTAAATATTTTGTTATTTTGCTGTTGAACTGAATTATATAATTACATGGGTAAGTGTAAACAATGTGATATTTAAAAAATGATAACAAAATGTTTTATAAGACAGAACTTGCTAAGAAAAACTGAACACATATGATGGACTGTGCAAAGACGGAAAAAATGAATGTCACCACTGAACATTGCATCGGGAATTCTAAACATCTGCTGCTATGCTGTATTTAATTTTTTGAGATTTTGCTGTTCAGCTGTATACGGCGTGAGTGCGAAGGAACCAATATCTTAATAATAAAGCTAAAAAGACAAAAGAAGGGTTAGCAGGAGTGAGTGCAACAGCACACTGGTAGACTGCGAAGACAATCTTTCTAAAGAAGAAATCTTTTTAAGAAAAAGAAACAATTCGTTGCGAGCGATCGTTAAAATCTGAAATTTCTGAGAATTTTAATATTATTACTTATTATTATTATGAAAATGATGGATAGAGAATAGCGGCTGCAAAGTATAGAAATTTGAATACATGTAAATTATTTTAAATCTTCTTGAGCGATGTGCCCGTATGCCTTTGAGTAATATAGTACAATTATTGCAACAATGCTTGGGTTAAAATGGATTTTGCTAGATCTTAAACTGGGGATAAATGCGATTCGCACTTAGAATATTAGTCCAAAGGGGAAATTTGCCTTGAAGGACTATTAATTTCGTTTTGGCATTTTGCGTTGATTTCATATAAACGCACGAATCATTTTTACAAAACTTGCCACCAACACTATCGCCCCTGTAATTATATTTATAGAAATAAATAATGAAGAATCTGCATGAATATATGTATGTTTCACGCACTGTGAAAAAAAACAACGGTTTACATAGAGTCCAGCAAAAATGAACAACGTAATCTTGACAGAGACATGGCAATGTGAAAAACAGAATTTGAATTTGAAATTTGTTTTAGTATCGATTTCACATTTTGTAACACTCAACGAATTTTTTATTAACAAACTAAACGATTTCAAAGCGATCAATGGCAACACTGAGCGGAAAATAAAACTTTTTTTTTATCTCCAGGCGCGAGACTTGTGTATCGTAAATTCTAAAGATAGGCTCATTTTAAAATTAATTTGCGATATTGCTGTTGAACCGAATTATATGGTTGGAGCTCGTAGAACATGATATTTAATAAATGAAGGTAACACATAAAAATGCCCCTTTGGACGTAATTTAAAATCTGAAAACCTTCAGATTTTTTTTAAAAACTTTTTTTTTACTTTTTTATTCACAAAGCTGTAATTTTTAATAATCGTAAAATATATACAGTTAAAAACATTTGCTTATGACGTTTATTTACTGAACGATAAACATGGAGTACATCTAGCCATACTTAATAGCTTGGCATTGTGCCATTTTCTTTGACCCAATATGTTTGAAACTGGCTTCATTTCAAACGACGCCATTTGAGTCTTACAATTTGTTTCTTACTTGAAGTGGGAGGGTGTATTTTTTGAAGTGAAATGTTATCAGATCAAAAGTTTTAAAAAATCATATATTCCCTTCCAATATTATTTGATTGCAACATTCTGATGAAATTAGAACTTGTGCATTAAGCTAACAGTACTCAATATTTCATCGAAATAATTCGAATTTAGTTCGAATGAAAAACATATGACAGACCATGATCAGCCCTTATACTTTTGGTATTAGTAAATGCGGGTTCCTCTAAAGAATACATTTAAAAAAAGTTTTTTGGATTTTGTTTAGCTGGGTTTTCTTGTACCATTTTGGTGGACTTTGAATACAAGTAACAGGTTAGTAATTTAAAAGCTAAAGTTTAGGATAAATTTAGTAAGCGATGACAAGTAATGATACCTACCTGGCGAGAAGAACGCGTTCCCGAGAATATTCTCGAATGGGAGTTAAAACTATATGTACCTCGCTTGTACCCAGAGTTTGAGTATCTTCGATTTAATTAGTGACTTCCTCAGAGATTAACTTGAGAGCGATCGACCGAGTCGGAAGCTGTATTTTAGTGCTTTGCTGTGAAGCTGTCTTCACCTTTATAATGTTATTGCCTGAAGGCTGTGTTGCTGAATGTTTCAGCGTGTTTATTGCAGTTTTTCGACGACTGCAAACGTGTCTTTGGAACTATCATGTGTAATACTGGCGAAAAAATTGTGTTTTGATTCTTCATCAAGTGTTGTCATGAGGTACTCCAAATCCTCAAACCCGTAGAACGAACAGTATATATCTCGCAATCTCGTTGAAATTTTGCCTATGGGACTGCCATTAAATCTAGTTGGGCACCATTTTTTTTCAATCAGCATCCACCAAATATTCCTCAAATACATTCCTCCAATTTTGAATCTCTCTCTATGTATATATATATACATGTGTGTGTATGCAATGGTTTGGAGATGTGTCTTCGCGTAGTAATAACATGGAGAGGCTCTACTGTGTAGTTAGAAAGATGACACTCGAAGACAGACATAGCCGTTAATTCTACATGTAATTTTATTCCTTGAGAATTAATTCTTAAAAAACATTCTTTTTCATTGCACATAATCACTGTGGATGCCTATGCACCCCACGATTTTATGCAGATTATAATTTTAGAACCGTGGGCAACAGCTAGCGGTGGCTCAGCAAGCGGAGTGGCGTCTTAACAGAAAGAAAGCTAGAAGCAAACATGCGCAGTTATCCAATATGGCAGCCTATTAAAAGAAAGATTTCACTTCTCGAAATTTTGAATTCAAGTTCCGAATTATTTTCGATTTAGATTTCACATTAGTTACATGGTTAGCGTTTTTAAGTTATACGTATGAATTGATGGAGAAATGACGCAGTCGAGAGAAATTTTGATGATTTTCAGATGCTAGAAGGGGGCCTATAAAAATCTAAGGATCAAATTTAAAGAGCTATTGCTAATTAAATTAGTAATCTATTAGAGATTTGTATTCTTGTTAAACACACAAAACAATTAATTATAAAAAGACAAAAAAAAGTTTCGTATGCTATCTTAGTAAAAAAAAACTAAACATTTATATGGTGAACTTAAAAAAGCCTGAAAAATAAAAAAAGGTGTATGCCAAAACTTAACACTGTAGCGGAAATTCTAAATGTACTTTGCTACAAAAAATTTGGGGGTATTGTTATTAAATTGTATGTAACGTAAGTGCGAAGAATGCTCTGCTTAATAATAAAGCTGAAAAGACAAAAAAAAAAAAAAAATTGTGTTAAACGATGTGAGCCCATAATAAATTTCCAGGGTTGCTATATTTACAGAGAACATAAACTTGACACACTTTCTGGTGCACAGTTAAAATCTGAATCCTTTCAATTTTATTCATTTTTGTGAAATGCTTTTGTAATTTCGTGGATAAACAATAAGAGATTGAAAGCATAATATGTGGGTAGGTATCATAAGGCTGAAAAGTTAATTTCATTCCAAAACTTTTCTTTGAATAGGTTTACTTTTAATTTATATTTGAATGGAACATTTTCCATTTAATAAGTGCAATTATTAGTAAGCATTTTTACTGCTCGAGGAAATTTAGCGTCATTTATTTTTAATTTCTGTAAGCTTGAAATGTGAGTAGCTATGAAAAGATATCAGCACTTTGTTAAACCTGAAGTAATAAATTAATAATTTGAATGTTTAATGTTATCCCACTTTGGAGATACAGTTACAGTTTTATATATTCTAATTAAAGAGTTTTGCAATTGCCTAATATTTCCAGGGTTGCATGAAACAGGAAAATGTCAGGGTAAATGATAAAGGCTTTTAAATTTCCTAAAATTAAGTCGATTTATAAGTTATTAAACCTATTAAACAACACAATAGACGAAGCAAAATATGTAAAAACTTATGTTAACTGAACTATTTTATGTAAGCTGAAAGCATTTACATATATATATCAATGCGTATAAATTTATATTTTCCTTGCAGGTGTCTCCCATTACACGAAGGTCATCGAAAATTCGAACGGTGATGTCGTTTTCGATCAAGTAAGTGTGTGAATTTTTTCTACACTATATATTATATAATGTCTAATGTACACTGGAAAAAAAAATAAAAATAAAAATAAAAATTAAAAAAAAAAAAAAAAAAAATGGGACAGTTCTATATCTCTTTCTCATTTGATGGGCCCAATTGCGAAATTCAAAATTCGTTTTTTCATGTCTCGAAAGCGCGACTTCGGATATGAAATTAGATTTTATATATGAGCATTCATTCAGCATAGCGTTCCTGCTCTTTGCGTGCTTTACTTTTTTTTTTTTTTTTTTTTTTTTTTTTTTTTTTTTTTTTTTTTTTTTTTTTTTTTTTTTTTTTTTTTTTTTTTTCTTTTGTATTTTGACACAAAAATCGGGATTTTTTGAAATGACATGCCATTTTTTTCATAATTCCGATTCTATGACCCAAATTATGCCTAAATATTAAAATTTGTTAAAAAGTTTAGTTGCGAAATTGACGGAGAAATTCGAAAATTATGTGGCCATTTTTTTCAGATTTCGCCAAAAAATAATTACTTGGGAACTCTTAATGCTTAACGACCTATGTTCCTTTGTTTTTTTTTTTTTTTTTTGTTTTTTCATTGCCAGACGAGAGGAAGAAAGAAGAAAAGACAGTCATTGTGGCAAACTTTCATGATTTTAACAAAGTGGCATACAGAACATTTGGCGTTTTATCGCCAAAAAACAAGATGGCATAATATTAAAACACTCCCAATATGGAAATTTCAGGAACTTTCAGAAATTTTAATAAAAAAACTCTAAATTTTTTGGGGGTCTAGAAATACATCTACTTTAAAAGACGATTTTTAAAATTTGTATTAAGGTTATTAATACAAAAATGTTTTAGAAAAATTATTAAAAAATGTTTTTAAAAATTATAAATGTAAAAATTAAATCATAAAATAGCGCGAATTTTATTGGATGAGGCTAAATTCCGAATTCGGAAAAAGGATCTAGTAAGATTAATCAAAATACAGAGATTTCTAATAATATCATATTAATTAACATTGATAGTAAAATATGAGAGCTAATTTTTTTTTTTTTTATCTCGTGCATTTTCAACCAAATTGTAGTTTAATTGAGTCGTAGATCTAAATATGGAAAAAATGGAATATCATTTCAGAAAACTCCTATTTGTATCAAAATACCTATGTTAGAATGATGCTATATATAAATCTAATATATATCCAAGTCGCGCTTTCGAGACATGAAAAACGCGAGTTGAATTTCGTCAATCGGCCCAGTAGAACGGGAAATATAGAACTGTCTCATTTTTTTAGTCCAAAAGGGGGTCTTTGTTCCTGAGGGACTATTGTTTTTGTTTTGCGAATTTGCGTCGAATCATTCTAAACGTCCATTTCACTTTTCAAACTGTTGCCATCAAATATCATCGCGCTGTATTATATTTGAAGAAATTAAATAATAAAGAATCTGAATAAATTTATGTATGTTTCTTGCATTGTGATAAAACAGCGTACCTAGAGTCATCCAGTTTTGAATGACGTAATCCTACTGCGAACATGGGCATCTGGAAGCCGAAATTTGAAATTGAATTTGTTTTATTATCGATTTCATATTTTGTAAAACTTTAAAGAATTTTTGATTAACATGAGGATTTCAAAGCGAGCAATGACACGTTGTACAGAAAGAAAATTTTTATCTCCAGGGCGTGAGACTGTGTTTCGGAAGTTCTAAAGATATGCTTAATACAAAAATCACTTTGAGATTTTGCTGTTGAACTGAATTTTATGGTTTAAGTGCGAAGAACAAGATATTTAATAAATAAAGGTAACACACAAAATGTTAAAAAAAGTCCATTCGAACTTAATTTAAAATCTGAAACCTTTCAATCAACCTTTCAACCAAAAAAATAAGATTTTCTTTTTCTTTTTTTCCCTGCAATGTACATTTCTTCAAAAGAAAATTCCCTCATGGATTTATTTCAGTTCAGTATAACCAGTATGCCAAGTTACTTTTTTGCAAAGTAATGTAACACACTTACTTATTATTTACATTGAATAGAATTTAGACCTCTGGCCAAAAGTCTTATGAATTATTTAGGAAACCCCTAATAGCAATTTTACTGAATTTCCATTTATAAGAATGAATTCAGGTATGACTAATAGAAAAGATTTGAATCTCGTAGTTAAAGTATTCATACAAGATACAAAGCATGTTTATACATTTTTAGAACGATTTCGACAAAGAAATAAAAAAAGGCAGATGTTTTCGAATACAAATTTCTGGCAAAAGCTTTAAATTGAAAGGAGCAATATTTTCTGCTACCTTTAAATTTATTCTTCTTTCAAGATGTCACAAATAAGCTCTGGATGACATGGTTTTCTCTTTCCGAGGGAAAATGTTCATATTCCTTAATTCAAAAGCGTTGTAAAATGCATAGTATTAAAATTTTTAAATGCAAAATAATCAGCATTATGAATCGGGAAGAAAAAAACCATCAATCATTACTTCTACATTCTACATGGAAAGCCGATTCTAAACGAATGCCCGGATCATGACTTTACATATCTGAGAAACAACTTATTATTTGAAAGGAGCAATATCGTCTGCTGCTTTCAACTGCTGCTGCGGTTGCTGCTACTTGCAGCATTTTAAAATTGTTACATGAATATTACGAATATCTTAGTGTGATGATATATAACTTTGAATGTTTGTCTGCTTGTAAATTAGTTGCTGGTTTATGCAACGAACTTCATACCATCATGCCCTGATAAAGACGATGATTTCCCAGCAATCCTTAGGGAAGTCTGCAGTCTTTCGACAACTTTCTTGCATATAACTTTCTTGCTCTGAGTGTCTTCTTCATCTTCAGTTCCCTCTCCTTTCTCAGGTTATGTCAGGTTAATTCGTCGTCATCTTGAGAAAGTGTGGTAAAATCAGAATTGTCTCCATCAATCCAAACCAGCAGAACCTTTTCTTTAACACCAATTTTTCGGAACATGTAAGTAAATCCAAGGTGTTTGACACGAGCGTTGAACATGTTTTAAAACCAAGAGAATCTTTGCCTCTCGAATCATCATCTACGAACATGAACATGAGCAGGCTAGAGATTTCCAGGCTTTCCAGCTCCTTTCCAGACTGTACCAAAGCAAATATGGCGTGTTTCAATGTGAATTGTTTCCGAAAGTCATAAACACTACCTCAAAGTTCGCACATCAATGTATAAAGATGAATCGGCACTTCACCATTATATTTAATTTTTCGGATAAGTCTAATTACGTTGGGTGTTAGAAATGTGTGGTAAATGTTTTTCACATTCAAATATTAAGACTGCTAGAACATTACATTTTTTTTTAAATCTCATAGGCCTAACCGGTTTAAATCCAAACTTTCAGAAAAGCCGTGGATTTGATATTCCCTATTAATTGAGTGTCAGTTGCGAGGAATTTTCCTGTACATTTTATTCTTAAGCATCTCGAAGCTCACTACTGAATGAAAGTAGAAATATCAATCCTATTGCTAGCACTCCTTGCACTACTTCTTTCTTTCAACTTAATTATATTTCCTTATGTGAAAATATCTTAATATTTCCTGGTACCCATATCGTTGTGCATAACAAATGAGACTGATTCAGCATCTATAACATCTAAACTGAACGTTTGGAAATTTTGAGAGAATTCTGCTTTTATCACTTATAACACGTAGCGTCATTTCTGACATCATGATTTCAAAATTTTAATATGTATCAGCTCGCTGCTGAAGATCTGGTGTTTGATGTTGCAATTTTTAAAAATAGTGTGGCTTTGAAGTTAAGCACGTGAGTGCATTTTTCTACTTAAAAGAAATTTTCTAAAAAAAGAAGTTTTTAAAAATATTTTTATCACATAAAATCATTTTGAATTTTATGTAATAAATCCGGTTATCTATGTTTGCTTTTTAAAGTCATTGTTAGCAACAGAGAAGCTAATAGTCTCAAAACTCACTATTTGTCCATAGCACATTTGTTTCTGGATCACGTTTCAGATCGTTGCCACCAAATATTATCGCCTGTATTATTTTTAAAGAAATTCAATGATGAAGAATCTGTATGCATGTTTCTGGCACTTCGGAGAAGCGAAGGTATTTTGAGCCACCAAATTTCTAACGCACGTAGTCCTCCAACCGAACAGGGGAAACTCGAAGAATGAATTCTAAATTTCAAATTTGTTTTTGGTTTATTTTGTACGAATTTAACAAATTTTTGTTTAACAAACTCAGCGATTTGAAAACGAGAAGTTTCAGTGCTCTTCGAAATAAAAAAGAACACTCTACAGAACGCTTAAGTTTCATACATTACCGGTATTGCAACGTACACCGTATTTTTAACTTAGAATGGATAAAATAGTAAACAGTATGTTCAAAGCATTTATAGTCAGTGACATTTATATTTTCCCATCTGTTCGAAGTCTTTTTTGAAAATTTTAAATTAAACTTTTCGCTTTAAAACTTAGGATTAACAACTTTTCGATTAAATTCAGCTCCGGCTCATGGTAACAGCTGGTAGCAGGAAAGCCATTAAAGAAGATATGCAACAATAACCTTGCAACTTAGGAATATTCATGTTGTCTTTGGCCATGAAAACATACGAAGGTAGAATTCTCACAATAGTTATTCAACATTCTCTCCTAACCCGCTTTCTCCATGCAATTAAATCTTCAGTGGACTTCTATAATTGCTAAACAAACGCTACAAAGCAAATTCTCCATCTATACAAACATTTTAAGTCGCTGCATATACATTTAACCCTCCAACTGCGCATATATTTAACTGTGCTCTGCTGGAATCAGCATATGAATTAAATATAAGAGCACGGGATATAGTTGTTCATTTTAATACTTTAAACATTTATCTTCAATATTTGTTATAATTTAAGAAGGGATTCGTATTTCAGTGGTATCTCCCCCCTAAGCTTTTAAAACATTTTATTCATCTCGTTCCATTCTTACTTCCTTCTATGAAGTAAAGGAAGTATTGTAATCGTGAAAACTTTCGAGTATCATATTTGAACGGAAATATTAATTTTGACCATTTCCGAATCCATTTCGATCATTATTTTGCGTAATATCTGTACATTCGTGTAGAATAAACGACTCACTTTTTTCCAAAATGGATTCAAACGTAAATTTTTGTGAAATCTGTACATACGTATATATGTACGTATATTATGCGATATACATACATACGTATATATGTACATATGTATGTATATCGCATAACTTAAAAGCGATTATTCTTAGAATGCTGAAATTTTGCATATTGGACTGCTGTAATATTGGTTTCCAAATATTAAGGAAAAGTCGCAAAAGTAGCGATACATCGTTCACAAATAAGCCAATTGGAACAAAATTTGGATATGTTGTCAAATAAAAGTTGCTGAGTAAAACTGCAGAATGCAAATCAGTGGCGCTGCAATCGAAATACGTCATCTGCGAGGAGCATGAAATTGCACGTTTCAGAGCAAGCCTGTAAATTTCGCTGTCATACTGAGATAAGAAATCTGGGACAGGCAATTTGTAACAATGACCCTCTGACATCTTTTTACCAAAGAACTGTGACGGAGAGCTATTGGGGGCCTATAGTCAGTACATTATCAGACAGAAGTGGCCAGATGGCTGAATGCGAGCACTTCTGTGGTTCATAGACCTTTATCAACATTTCATAACCACAGACATCTGCGTGCCGCTCAAGTCACGTCATAGAAGCGAACGTTTGAGGTGGGCACGTCAACATGTACCCTCGACAGTTGACCATTGGAGGGCTGTTCTCCTTACGGATGAGTCTATGTTTAGTTCAAACAGACAGCAAGCGTTATTTGATTTGGAAGAGAACCTGGAGTCCATTGTCATCCATCAAGCATCTGTGAAAGAGATGCAAACGGAGGAGGCAATGTCTATGTTGGGATGGTATCTCTTTGTGTGGACGCAGAGAACTCTATGTCTTTCCACGTGGAACCATAAATGCTCAGGCCTATAGAGATGACATCCTTGATACTTATGTTCGTCCTTATGCCGGAGCAGCGGGTGATAATATCCTGCTACAGGAAGACAACGCTAGACCGCACAGGGATCGCATCGTGGATGATTATCTTAAACAGCAAATAATTCAGCGCATGAAGTGGCCTCTCTATCACAGACCTAAACTCTAATAAGCATTTTTGGGATCCTTGAGCAAGACGCATAGTTACTCTCAATCCTCCTCTTCAGATTCTTGCTACTCTTCCAACTGCTTTGAAAGAGCAATGGCTGTCACTTCCTACGGAACTGATAGACTGTATAATTGACCGAATCACATCCCTGTATGTATAAAGGTTTTAGGGGAGATCATATTCCATACTGAAGGTAATTTTCCCTATACCAAACTGACACATCCGATTTGTTTATTTTATACATATGGTAATTTCTAAGACACCGTAATTGCCTGATAATTTCTTTGCATGTTATTTTATAATGTACTATGTGTTGTACACTGTGGGTCAGTTTCATTAAATTCTACTGGTTAAGTTTTGAGTAATCGTCATTTTTGTGATTTTTCTTATATTAATGATAACCAGCTTAGTTGTGCACCTCCTTTTCTTGTAGCAATGGGCGGCAACATATATATATATATATACATATATATACCATATATATACATATATATATATATATATATACATATATATATATATATAGATATATTATATATACATATATATACATATATATATATATTCTCTCTCTTCCCTACGTACATGTCATATTAGGAGAAAGTGTATATCTATATCTATCTACCTCCCTCTCTCTTTCTCTCTCTCTGTATATATATATATAGAGAGAGAGAGATCTCATTTGATAATACATATAAATATTATAAAAAGGTATAAACATATTATCACTCAAATCCTTATTTGACTTAATAGTCCTTGCGAGGCTTTTATTTCCGCAATCGTTGGCCATAGTTATATACATATGCTTTCAATTACAGAAGTATTTGAAATGAAGAAAATATGCATGTTTGGGCAGTGTCAGATTTTTAAAAATTTATTTTACAAATAGCGAAATCTAACTTTTAATGTTGGCTGCCAATTACTGTACTTTCATTTGGGAAAGTTTTATACTCGTTGTGAAAAAATAAAATTAGAAGTTTGACTTCCATAAGACAAAAATTAACCCGGTATTTAGTTTTAAAATTTAAAATTTTGGATGTCATTTTCAACTTGCCTTCATAAATTAATTAAGTTATAATAATTAGAGGAATTAGTTTAAATGAAGTGCAGGAAAAATTGCGTATTCTTTTATAGGTGTACAAGGAAGTCATGTTCTGTTTCCATCAGATTATTATTTAAGTTACAAAAATGTATTTTCTGATCTTGAAACTAATGCCCTTATTCGATTTTGCTAATTATTTGCAATGTGCCTGCACATTTGTTTATCTTAAAGTGTAGAAGTTCAAGAAATTTATGTAATTAGATACTGGTAGATGTAACTGTGTTGATCAAACCCTTGAATCAGACAGTAAACATTCCTATTCCATTTCATACTGCTGAGATGGATTTAATCTCCCTGAACTTTCTTGAAATAGAATATAAATTAGGTTCTCCAAAAAAAAAGCTTTTTTTTATAATATTAACAAATTTACACTTTTAAGAGCACAAATGTGTAACACATCTATCTTAAACACAATTATTTGATCCGGGCACCACATGACTTCCTTGTACGGCGTATTGAATTATACACATTTTTACTGCATTTAAATGTGTTTCTTCGAATTTCATTACAGATATATTTCTTATTTAATCAATTCAGTTTTCATCTCGCGGCAAGGCAAAAATACATAAAAACTCAAAACATCTTCATTAAAATTGTAAAATGCAGAAAAATAGTTTTAAACACCAAAAATAGTTAAAAACAGTAAAAAAATTACAATTAAAAGTTTCTACGAAAAAACAAGCAATACTGATCTCACATGAGTCATTTTACATGAGCCGGTTTTGACTGTTACGTGTTAAAGAATACAGAGGGTGTTTACACATTCTTAGAACGATTTCGAGGGCGTTTAGTTAATGTTCAAACAACAAAGAATATTTTTTAATGTTCGATCTGGTAGCGTTTTATATGGACTAAATCTGCATCATGGTTTTCATAATAGAATGGCTTTTTGTGAAATTTGCATGACCATTGATTTCCATTCCTTTTTGAACTACTTTCCAGAGTCCATCAATCGTGGTGGATTTGCGCTTAGAAAGATCTCTTTTCAAGACACCAAAGGTGCAGTAGTACATAGGTGAAACGTCGGGGGGCTTCGCAGGAAATGCAATACCTGTATCAGTCTTCATTTTTTTAAGCAATGAAGTGGTACTTTTCGAAGTATGTGTTGTTGATTTTGCTTGATGAAGTTTCACTCTTTGAAAGTCTCAGGGATAAAGAAATAGAATTCCTTCTAAAAATATTGGAAGTAAAATTCTCTCTTGGTAGTTCGTCCAGTTTATTTTAACATTTTTCTCTACTCTTCTTGTTTTTAATTTCTTATTGTAAAAGAATTCTGCGACCGTCATAAACCCTTTACTTGTGACTTGTTGTTGCTTCAAGAATTCAACCCAAGGGTTTCTACTTGCCGATGGAATGCTCTTGGCCGGTGTTCATATAAAAACAAAGCGCTCTACTCACCAAATGCATTGCATTTGATAGAAAATCCAAGAATAAGTAAAATTACCCTGAAGAGTAAAATTACCCAGAATCCAAAGGATAGTGGAAATAAAACTGTCCTAGCTGGTAGCAGTAATAGTAGATTAAATAAACAGTTATTGATGAGATGATAGCCTTTTCTGAAACAATCTTTGCAATGACACTACCAGGTTTGTACAATTCTTTACCATTCGTTTTCGATAATATATAGACCTAGTTTTGTTGCAGTCATTTAAGCAAAACCATGCTTCGTCAAGGGTTACAATGTATTTCAATTTATCTCGTGCTAAATAGTGTTCATATGGGATTCTACGAATTGTTTTTCTTTGAAGCACATGCTTCGGCAAAAGCTGGTGAACATTATATTTTTTAGTTTAGTTTTTTCTTAAGTTGTAAATCTTGATTTATTGTTTTATTTATTGTTCCTGCAGCTATATTAAAAAACTTTGCAATTGATTTCTGAGTCTACGGATTTTTTTCCGACGATTTAATTTTAGAAATTTAGGGAAAGTACGTATTGGTGTTGGGTGTTTATTTGGAGTCTTCTTCCCATGTAGAAGTAATGATTGACGGTTTTTCTCTTTCCGATTAATAATGCTGCTTATTTTACATTTAGAAATATTAATACCATGTATTATGGCATAGGAATACTTATCTTCGGATAGCACTGAAATATATCCTTCAATCCAGAACTTGTTTACATGTGACATTTTTAAAGAGGAATAAATTTAAATGTAGCAGAAGGTATTTCTAAATTTTTACAGAAAGCTATTACAAGAAGTTTTTATTTTAAAATATTTGTTTTTTTAATTCTTTATCGAAATATTTCGTAAATAGACTCTTTGTTTTAAAATTCTTAAAACGAAAACTAGCATTAGTGGATTTATGCATTTTCCTATGAAATTTTATAATGAATAATTATTTTTTGTTTTCAGTGGTTTGAGTGGCCAGTCGGAAGTCCCGTGCAGAGTCATGAAGTGCTGGAAATTGTCCTTCTTAATTATAACAAGTACTTTACTAATAAGTAAGTAGTAAAGTGTTATATTTATTGCTTGTTAAATATTGTTACAAATTTGTATATATATAAATAATTTTATTGAAATCATATGTAAGACTGTAATATCTGTTATATAATATAACATGAAATGCTTAAAAAACAGGAACTCTGCAAGAAAAATAAACTTACAAAGGCAGTCTATTTAACATTGAGATAAATGGTTATCTCGCTGAATTGGCGTGATATTGCCAATCTCGCGATGGTTTTGGCGATTATATTTTGTCGCTTAGTTGAGCGAGAAATCGTCAGAAGTCGCCAAACTTTGTGGCAATTTAGGACACTTTGGTCCGGTCCCTATACCTGATTCTGTAATTGATCCCTATAATGTGATTGTAACAGTATCTGGCCCTTTTATATAACTTTAACTGTATGTTCTTTGTAGTAGTAATTTCGAGAAATGGAAAGTACTAGAGATTTCGCAAAGGGAGGAGCAAAACTATATATGAGCGGAGAGAGCGTCAGTTTCTCAGTTTTTAGTTCAGAGTTGACTTCGGAGTATTTAGATCTCCGTGCGAGCTTCGCCTTTTAGGTGAGCTTTTAATTTGTGTTTAACATTCTTAGTAGTTTGGAGTGTAACTACTGATTGTGCTCTGTGATACTGAGAAGAGTTGTGCGAGAGCTTTCGTGAGGAGTTCCAAAACTGTGAAGTATTTCTTTTGGGGAAAATTAATCTTATCAAGATATCATCCGTTCTGTGTGCATTCCATCTATGTTACGAATCCGTAAGCATACAGCATTATTTTAAATTTTAGTATTGTTCTAAACTAAAAGTGTATAAGAAAATCTTCTACAACATTTCATCGGCTTAACACGTTCGCTGCCCTGAACGAGTTACCTCGTAGGTCGAAGTATGTGTTTCAGCGCCAGCTACGAGTTAATTCGTAGAATTGTTTTGTTTTACCTACGCCACATACGATCAATTTCGTAGTATTTTAATGTTCTTTGAAGGTATCTAGCTTTGGGAATATGAAGGTGTCTGGCTTTGGGGATCAGCAACATGCTTAGACTAAAGTTAAAAAACTTGCGCAATCAGATCAAAAATGAATCTTTGTTATAAGCAATTGGCAATACGAATATACTTGTTACGAGTATACTCGTAGTTGGCCCTGTCATGAAACATTTTATCGCAAAAATCGACTACGATATAACTCGTACAATTAATAAAGCAATTAAAAATTATCTAAATTCCATATCTTTCCCATAAATACATGTTTTGTATTTTTATTTTACAATTAATTAATTGAAATTTATTGGCGTCGTGGAACCGTTATTGAAAGTGTCGCTCAGCAGCGAACGTGTTAAGGAAACGTGGTATTATTTTGAAATTTTCTTACTAAAAGAGTGTTAGTTAAAAAACTCGATTTCCCCATATGCAAATTAAAAAATTTAGGAAAATGGGAAAAAATATATCCCTTCACATTTTTTTTTTCATATTCTTTTTTATTGCATAATAATGTGAATAACGACTTCTATGTTTTAAGCGTTTACTGAAGAAACGTTTATAGCCATAAAATTGCAGAAAATTTGACATGGTATTAAGATTGACGTTTTTATAAAATCCAAAATGGAAAAAAGTGCTGTAGAAAAATTGTAATTGGACTTTAGTCGAAACCCGTTTTATTAAACCAAATGCACATGTTTCGGGCAAAATATTTTGCAAGAAGAGTTAATTATACAAGCTATCTGTCTGTAAAATATTAATTTTTTATGAATAACATCTTAATATTTGTAAACAAAACTTGTATATAGAAGTAACGAATATCTGTGGATGTTTTCTCAAAAATAATGTAAAACTTTCAACTGAAGCAAAGCGGTCGTTGCATGATCTTCCTAAAACAATCGCATATGTAATTAAACTTTTAATTATTTTATTATTAATTTACAGAGCTCAAAAGCATTAGCATTCTTAAATAAATTAATATTCTCGTACAAAATCGTAACACAACTGTATAATTTTAGCGAGCTTGAGATTCAAACTACTAAGTCTAAATTAATATATACGCTTCGAAATCAATCAAACTAGAGTTTATTACTGACACAGCCAGCTTTGCGCCAACTAAGAACATAACGCTAAAAGCCATTTTTCTAACATAATTTTATGTAGCATTTCTAACAGGTATCTTCAAGTAATTATTTATACCTCTGAACGAAACCGGTTACAGGTAACATAGTGGTCAAGTACATTTATTCAATTTCAATACATATTACGGTGATACAGGGACCGAACCAAAATGTCGCCAAAGGGGCGCCAAATTTAGCAAGATTTTGATTTCTCGCCAAATTACCGAGATATTTATTTATTCAATGCTAAATGTATTTGCCCTGTATTCTTACTTTCTCGGCATAGCTTCCCTTAAGATTTTCGTGTTACAAAAGAAATACAATTTTACTTATAATTCTATTAAATTGCCTATCTAAGTATAAAATTCCTAACACTAGGTATTTATTTCTTTAAAAAAATCAGGTAAATTTGCTTTGTTTTTGAAAATGCTTGAATATTTGTCGAATTTTCAGTGCATGTTTATGAAAGTGTTATTTTAATATTATTTTCATCAAAGAAGTGCAGCAGAATTTCAACTACTGTCATTGTTGTCACGAGACTAATGTAATTGTCAGTATCTTCTATATCAGTATCTATTCTTCTTCTCCCGTTCTACTGGAGCGATTTTCAAAAATTAAGATTGCGTTTTCCATGCCTCGAAAGCGCGACTTATGATATATATTACATTTATATATAGTATGGTTCTAATATTGGTATTTCGAAACAAAATAGGATTTTTTCTAAAATAACATACCAGTTTTCAACTGACTCAAATTCTGCCAAACTGCCAAGTTTTTGATAAATTGCACGAGTAGTTTTTAAAAAATTAGGTCCCAAAATATCAGCTTCTCCATGTTAATTGAATTTGGTATATATTTATTAATATCTCTGTTTTATTAAATTTATTTGATTCTTCCTTTCACATTTCAAAATTTAGGTTCACTCCAAATAAAATTCGCCCATCTTTATTATTTATTTTTTAAATTTGTATTTAAAAATAATTTTTATAAATTTTTCGAAAACAGTTTTGTATTATAATATGTAAAATTTTTACCATCATCTTAAAGTAGTTGTATTTCTAAGCATACTTGTAAAAGGTTAGAGTTTTTTATTGAAAATTTCCGAAGTAATGAGTGAATTTATGGAGCGTTTTGAAATTTGGCACATTTGTTTAAAGCAATGATAACGTCAAATTTGGTTTACGCACTTCGTTAAAATTATTTGAAAGTGTGAACGATGACCTTTTTACCGCTCGTGTATAACGAAAAAAAGGAAAGGAAATTACGTTGTTATAAATATAAAAGTTCACCAAGTGAAATTACTCTTGGCGCAAACTGAAAAAAAGTACACCAAGATAAATTTTAAATTTCTCCATACATTTCCTACCAAAAATTACAAAATTTAATATCTAGGCATAATATGTTTCGCAGAAACGAAATATGGAACAAAATTGGTACATTATTTCAGAAAAAGTCCGATTTTGTGTCATACCACCTATATTAGAACAATGCTATATATAAATCGAATATATATCCTTAGTCGCGCTTTCGAGACGTGGTAAACGCAAGTTAAATTTCGGCAATCGGTCCAGTAGAACGGGAGATCTAGAACTGTCTGCTTTTTTTTTTCTTTTCTTTTCTTTTCTTTTTTTTTTTTTTTTTTTTTTCGAGGTTAACTGCATTGAAACGTTCTCACACAGAATGTCTTGCAAATAGCCTTCTATGCAAGTACGAAATGTTTAGAATCTAATTTGGCAGCTTTAATCTAAAGCCCATTAAATATTTGATTATCGCAAATGTATACTATCCAAAACAGTTAGTTACACAGCACAGTGAATGCGTGACGTGAGGTCCCAGATAAAGGTAAACTAATTTCACTCCACATATTTAGCCTGTATTTCTAATTAATCAGTGTACTAGAGTTAAATTTGATATTAAAATATCTAAACTGAATCGTGTGGAAAGCCATACCTGTCAAATGATCACTGAATGAATAACGGGAATTAACGTTTATAAAACAGGTCCAATAATTTCAGTCATTTATTGCGGTATGTTTGATTAGGTTATAATTTGTTTCTAATTTAAAAAACAAATTTGGTCTTTTATTTTATTATTTTAAATTTGAGGGAAAATTACTTTTATTGCTAACAAGCGATAGAATATGTTAGCAGATGCAAAAGTGTTTAAGTGCGAAAAAACTTTGTTTCCTAAAAAAATCATGCAAAATATTTTATCTAATTAAAACATAATATAAAATCATTGCAATAAAATAAGCAATAAATTTCAGATTTTTAAGAGAAAACAGACAGCAGTCCAGTATCCAAAGCAATGAATGAAAAACTGCTGCCAAAACCAAATTTCTAAAAGAATGAAACGATCATCAGGAAGAAATAACAAATCAAAAAAGAAGATTACAATGTGCGTGTATAATTAATAATATTTTATCTCATATTTTCAACAGTCAGCAGTCCAGTATACAAAGCATTGAATGAAAAACTGTTACCAAAACCACATTTCTATAAGAATGAAACTGTTCAAAATGATACGATTTCATTAAAAAAGTTAAAATTTTAAAAAAATCTGATTCGAATTTTGAAAAAAATCGCTTCGAGGCTCTTGTCTAGATGCACCTATGTACCAAATTTCGAAGCCCTGGTTCTCTTACGCGCAGCACGAACGAAAGACACATGCACATACAGATAGACTCTTTCTTTTATTATATGACGAAGGCATCCCTCTCCTTAGGCAGATAGCCCTAGTGTGCTTTTCCATAATTAAATAAACCAAACCCAACCAAACCTTTTATTATATGTAGAGATGATGTTTTGTATTATTACTTTTAACTTGAGAAACATAAACTTTTTAGAAACAAAATCAAGTGAACGCTATGGCTGCGTTTGATATTGCAGAATCTCACCTTCTTCGGA